GATGCTTAATCTGTTATAAATACATGCTGGTTGCTAAGCTCCTGAATTTTGATCATGTGACTATGGGGATGCTGCAAGTTGTAAGTGCAATGATCAGTCATAAGTCACCTTTTCAGTGCTGTTATAACTTCAGCTGGTTGTGAAACAAATGTTTAAGTCAAAGACTACCTGTAAAACCTTCAATTGATATCCAACCCATACCTGAGAGAGACTTAAGTGTATTTAATTGCACAGGTGTAATTTTCTTATTCTCACACTTTTTTGCTTGCCGCAATTGAACGTGCTTCCCTAAATATTCCATTAACACCATACTCTGATGATTCCTAGAAGGTCAGATCAGCTCCTATTGGGCAATTTTTTACATTGTGATTCTGGGACAGTCATTTAGAGTGGCTTGGCTTAGCCTTAGGGCATGTTCTTTCAGGTTATACTTCTCCTAACTCCATCAGGTCTGCAAGCTGATAACGAGTTCGACCCAGCTACAAAAGTGAGATCAGCCTAATGCCTAGGGTTGGATGAAGAGGCAGAATCCTGCTTTCCAGCTCAGCCTGTTTAGATGTTATGTGGGTTCCTTTAAAGATGTCTCCCCCCTCCCAATGAAGGCTAATTCTGGATTTAAAAGCAGCCAGCAGACATGTGTTGGCTTGCTTAGTGCAGCAGAATCTGGCAACCCTCTCTCTCATCAATTGTCAGGATGCACTCACTGCATGATGTGGCAGAAGACCTCTCATCCCAGTCACAAGTTCCTCCTAACTCCATTAAATATGCAGTGCTTGATTTGAAGTGCTAAAGCCAGAACTTGTAATGCTGCTTGGGATAACAAATTCCAGAATTCCTGGTTAGGAATGTGAATTGTTAATTGTTTGAAGAACCCAGCTGGAATAATTGCCTTATGGTTGATTTGTGCAAATGCAGCCATTTGGGTTAATTCCATTAGCTATAGGCCAGTTAACACCAAATTAACGAGTAACACAAGCACAACTGCAATTTAATGCAATTGGAATCACATGGATAGCTTCTGTATATACATATCCAAGTGGTGTGATATAGACTGCAACCCTAACTTGGCTTTATGTTGAGTAAATTCACAACACATTAAATCACCAAGCAGCCCATCTCGTTTTGCAATAGTGTGTTGAGTGAACGTAACCGTATCTAGTATATTAAAGAAAACTGGGTTAAATAATCAAAGATACCATGCAAATTTAACTCATTCTGTATTTGCGCGTACTTTCACTGTAAGCCTACATTGAATACAATCAGAATTGCTTTCAAGCGCAATCCTGCGCCCTTCTCAAAAATAAAGCTCCTTATTTTCAGCGCATCTTAAGCGTGCGTAGGAGATACGATGCCGAAGTAGGAAACCGAAAATCGAGCTAACCAGAAAGAAAGCAAAGTACTTGCAGGTTCGCTGAACAAGTGCAGTAATTCGAGGTCTTAATTGGGCACGTGGCTGTAGCCGGGCGGGGCCCGCTAATAAATTCAGCGCGGATCGGTCGACGGAAGGATAGATTTCTTTCTTCGCGGCTTCTTAGGGTCGAGCCATGTTGCGAAAACTCACCGTAGATCAGATCAACGATTGGTTCACAATTGGCAAAGCGGTCAGTGGGGTGGAATTCCTGGGGGGCGAAGTCCGGGCTGCTGGCTCTGCTCATCACCTCGTGGAATCTGTTGAAGAGGCGGCGCCTGCTGCTAATGTGTAAGTAGGCCGGGACCTGCAGCAAAACTAGTTCTCCATCGAAGGCACGCTTCACAGGATAACTGCTTAGATAGGTCCAAAACTGCCCAGGTTCTTTGCTGTTGAATGGTATAAATAAAGCCCCTTCCATCAGTAAATAACCCCCCCCCCAATTCATCAATAGGACGGATTTCACCGCTGCACAGGTTCTATTGAAATGAAGTACGATTTGTTTTTAGAAATAGAATAACGCCCCCACCCACCCATCTACCATCCGTAATAGTCTGATGGTGGCCTACCTCAAATTGTGAATTGTGTAACGATATATTAAGTTTGAAGTTGCTGCAACGCGTTTGTTTTTGAATTGCAGCTAGCTTCTTTAAAGTAAGCTAAAAACAAGCTCAGTGCTACCCGAAAAATGGTGTGTGCATTAAAAAAACATGTATGACAATAAACAGTCAACCTGAATCTATTAAATGGTCAGAACCTCAAATAATATAGTGCTGTTTTCTTGTTTAAAGCAGAGACAAATAAGAGTGGGAATTGCTTCTTTCTGAATTGGCCTCAACTTGGCCAGGTTATATAAACTTCAAGCAGGATATTTGGTTTTGGTTTTAAACATTTTTAAAGTTTGTCAATCTCATCTTGCCAAGAACTTCAGTTTTACCAAAAACATTTATGGTGTTCACAGATACTATAGCAATAAGCCACAATTTTCTTATGCTTTATTTAATAAAATACAATGGGTTATGTACACAACACACCAGACTAAATCCAAGCCACTGTAGGGTTTATAATACAGATGTGTGTATTCAGCCATTATATGAGCACCGTATATAGCATGCTAGTAATTCTTAGAGAATTCTTGCTTGCCTGTCTGTCCATATAAATAAATTGTCTATTGTGAGATTAAACCCTGGACTAGATCTTGGATTTGATCTATCCATCTCAACAATTATTTTCACTGGTGTCTTGCTCTGCAAATGTAAAATTACTGTATGGCTATAGTTCTAACAATTCATATGAGACTATAACTGTTTATAGAATGTTAAATTCTAAGTCCTCGTGGTTGTAGTCTCATGGCTGTTTATAGGGAGAGTTGAAAATGAATAGCTATATTAACATCCTCTGAGGTAATGTTAGCCTGTTTAAATTATCACTGTTTTTGTAGAGTAATAAGTATTTTAACTGAAAATGAAGCAAATGGGAACTCTTTATGGAGAAACAGTGAGAAAAATATTTCAATCTTACATAATTTTTTTCTTGTTGCCTGTTTCTAACGGGGTTTGAATCCTGAAGAACAATACATTTGTTGACATATTTGCTAAGAAGAATATCATAGCTCAAATAAGATTTATTCACAGTAAGAGTATACTAACCAACTTTTACAATAATATTTTTCCTTGTTGCTTTAACTTCACAGTTTTATAACATTATTTGCAGACAGTGAAGCAAAAGAATGCTAATGAGAAAAACACTTTGAGGTCCTCTTCTAATTTTCACACTTGTTCAATTGCTTTCAGTGTAGAGCCTAACTAGAGGTTCCCAAATCAACATTGTTGAGTAAATTTATACAACACATATTAACCAACCATATTTTAGTTCAGAATGTTGTACATATTGAGCCATTTGACTTAACATTATGATTGATTCTTTGAAATTAACCCTGTGGAGGCTAACTAGTTCAGCATTGACAGACGTGACGGCGGAAGCATTCTTTTAGTTCAATTTTTAACCTTCATCCAAATCTCTCTCACACACATGCTAACCTTATTCATGATTTTTCAAAAAATTAACATTTGGTAAAGTACTATTTTAGCAATTTTAAAAACCCCATTTCTTTGCAAATCTAGATTTTATTCTTCATAAAAAATTACAGCATAAAATCTAATTCAATGTATTGCTTCTGGGTATTTATCCTTTCTGGTAGATTTGAAGCAAAGGAAAAAAGGAGTTATTTTTTTGGTAATAAAGATTGGAATCCATAATGTATCTGCTTTTCTATCACCCTATTTCAGATGATGGAATTTTGGCTTATATAGCCTTTTTTTTTACAACCTGTGAATGAATGCCATTTCAGATCATCCTATAAACTTTTTACTAAATTTCTGCAGGATGTAAATAAAGCTGCCATGCAGATTTTGCACAGATTTATCTTCCCCTTTTAATTTTTAATTTTGTGTAAATGCAAATACTACTCCAATAATAATACTAGCATTAGTCTTGCTACTATTTGCATCCTCCACAGCAGTGTTTCTTAACCATGGGAACTTTAAGATGTGAGGACTTCACTCCCTCAATTAGCTGGCTGGAGAATTCTGGGAGTTGAAATCTATACACAGCTGCCGAGGTTGAGAAAAACTGTTCCACAATATCTCATATAGTCTCATGGCAGGGAATTGTGGAGAGCACATTGTAGCCATTATAAAAGGGAGAAATATATATTTGTCTTAAATCTGTGATTAAATCTTAAAATGTGTATGTATTTTTCCAAAGTGTCAATATAAAAAAAGTGTTCTTTGGGTTCTAGTGTATCTTTGGCATCTTTTACTACTCTTTTTTTTTTGTTTAAAAGGCAAAATATGGTGCTATTGTTGTGACCTGCTTTATAAAGGCCTTTGTAAAACTTATCTGTTTCCAGTTTATTAAAAACAAGATCTTTTACAAAATGGATTATTTTCTTTTTAAGATTTCAGATTAGAATTCAACATCTTTGTTTTGAAAACATTGCATTGTGTAAGCAAATTATTATAACAATCTGTCAGTGTCTTTCACCATGACTATGTTTCAGAGCATTGCTAAGTCTTTAATTTGTTGCATATTTAGAGGGGCAAAATAAATGGTATTAAAGACAGCTTACATAGTCAGTTAAGATGGTGGACTCAGAGTAACAATATCCAGCTTCGAGTCCATCCTTAGTCCCAGAAGTCAGCTGGGTGACCTTGGACTAATCATTCGCTCTCAGCCCACATCAACATCAGGCTGTAAGACAAGACAGCAGATAAACAAAAACCCTCATGGCATCATGAATTGTTAAGATTTGCTCTAATAATTAGATGAATACAATGAAAACAAGGGGACCCTGCAACCATGCAGGATTAATGCCAAGAAAAATCATAAAACCTCCATAAAAAAAAGTCTCTGCTATAAGAAGGATTTTAATGTGTCACTATTAATTAGTATAAAGCATCCTATTTAAGGATTATGCCAGTTATTAAGTTTAAGTTTGCATTTATGAGGATGGGAAGGTAATTTTGGTGTATTGAATCATTACAAAATGATTATAGCCAAGCTGAATGAGTATTAGCGAAAGAGAAAATAATTAACTCGATGGGTAGTAATAGGGAAGATTCCAGATTCTGTGGGAGAATGTTGGAAGGATGCCTTGTGTATTTTTATCAACATAGCTTGATATAGTTGGGATTTCTTCTTTGTCCATTTTCCTGGAGTTGGTGCTAGATGCTCCAAATTGGCTGGAACAATTTGTATTCCAAGCATCAGTCAGTTGATCTTGCTGTGCTTCTTTTTCAAGATTAGTAAGGAACTCTTTTAAAACTTGTTTGAATAAATAAACAATTTCCCAGGGTAAAACATCATTTTCTGCTAGGGCCTCTCGAAATCTAGAAAAGGAAAGAGAGAAAAAAAGAAAAAATAGCCTGAATTCTATTAGCATGTATTCAACTTATCTGTTAAAAATGCAGGGGGAGAGAAGATATACTATCCTTTTTAGCAATGCTTTTTAAAGGAAAAAAAACGGAATAGAAAAGAATGATGTTTGCAATGCAAACAGCTGAAGCACTTTTTTTTCTGGTCCAATTTGTCCAAGCAAGTTGATTCAAACTGGCATTTCCCTGGAGCCCTTTTCTAGAATCAGAGAGAAATCAGTGAAATGTTCGTGGGTTTGTGTTGTTTTAAATTCCATATGCTGTATGTGCAGGTTGATATGTATATATATAAAACATGTTGGAGAATTGTAGAGAAACTTGCTTTGTGATCAAAACAGTTTCATATCAAAATTGCATGAAACAAATGTGAATCAAGTTCACTAGTTTATAATGAAAATCATACCATGCAGATTTTAAAACTGGGCACATGATAAAAATGTAATCGATGAATATGAAGGCAAAAGTTTAGCAAAAGGAACAAACAAATTAGCACTCTAAATATTAGAGCTGTGAGTACTTACTAAGCATTTAAGTGGCATATTCTGAATTGTTACATTTAATTGTTTTGCTAAGCTTAAAATTAAAGCTGAAGGCATATTCTTTTTCTATTTTGTGGGCAAATCTTGGAAATTCCTTCATTGCATGCTATTTAATTGAACAAATGAAATCCTAGCAATGCTTTTTTGAGATGTCACAACCAACACAGAGAGTCTTATGAATAAGGTTGCGTATATTGCCAGAAAGTAAGTTTCTTTGAACCTCATTTCAAAGAATTATTTTTTTAGTTTGAAGCATGCTAGTTTTGAATTAATTTGAAACTGTTTTCTTGTAGGAATAAATTTAATATGAAGCTGCAAAGATGGGGACCCTTTTCCTTTCCTGAAGCTTTTGTTATACTATGTAGACAATACATTTATTTACCTGCTGAGTATGATTCCAGTTTGACATGGTTGGATTTGAGAGCAAAGAATTTCAACTTGTCGTTGTTCAGTAGCTGGGATAGTTATTTGAAGATTTTGGTAGCTCCTTATTTCATTGTAATCACTTTCAGGTTTTTGAATTTTGTGTCCACTTTCAATCTCCTGTATCAGCCGTTCACGTTCTTTCAAATGCCATTTTAGTTCTCTCAGAAGTGTCTTTGTGACAACTTCTGAGCCAGGATATTGTCCACTTTTGTAAGAATAACTTTTTGGCCATTTCATCCAGCCAAAGAATGGCATTTTGACAACTATTTAAAAAATAGAAACAAAAAGACACATGCACATACCATTGGTAAAAGGTGAGTTGGAAATTTGGTTCTCAGGGATTTCTCGCTCAAGTTTGATAGTTCAATTTTGTAAACTTACCCATTTTTCACATAGCCAGGCAGTTTTAAACTGCAAATGTATCTACATTTAAATGGACTCGGTAGAGCTTAATTCTGAATTCCCATGCATAGGATTGTGCTGTCAGTAATAGTACAATCAAAATGCAATTGTATTCCTCCCAGAAACTAGTATGATACTTAAAATATTCTACTTTAGCTTTATTCTGTCCTGGGTATATTTAATCTTTGTAGCACCTTTTGAAGGAATTGGCTAAGTCCATCTCAATTCAATATTACTATTTTCAAAAACAAACACAATTTAAGTTATAGTATTCTGTATGTTCTTCAATCTAAATGTAAACAATACAAATCTAGATAATATTTATAAAATAACATTTGGTATGAGAAAATCTAGATTTTAGAGAAAAGACTAGTTTATTTGCAACAGTTTTTTAAATTACAAAAACCATAAAGAGACTTGTGGCAGACTAACAAATATATGCAATTAAAATGCTTCCATTTTTATAGCATCTCAAAATTCATGGATATTTGGAGTAACTCTTAAGAGATTTATATTTTTATTTTAGTGCATCAAAATTTTTTAATTAGAATTATTCTTCTACTTACTGTATTTGTAGAAAAGAATCTATTTCACCAGATGAGTTCTGCTTGATGTGATGATTGTTCATTCCAGTATGTTCTGTCTGAGACAAGTATTCCTCATTTTATCACTTAAGAAAAGTGTATTATCCCAGCTTTTAAAATAACTTAATTCCTTCTATCAGCAGAGGACCCAGAATCTTCTGAAGTGGATTCCTCTGAAATTCTTTCCACAAAGCCCTTTCACAGTTTCTGCCTTTCCATATAGACTTTGTCCTGAGTCAGTGAGAACAGTTTCAGAAGCTGTCTATGGATGCTAAATGTATTGTCTGTAGTCATATGAATAATCGTAATCTGAAGCCAAGCCAGATGTGCTTCCAGCTAAAGTAAAACTGTCGGTTGGATGATGTGATGCTTGGATGTGCATAGCTGTAGGTCACAGTTCACTGCTGTATTTTTATGCCCTGTTGTGCTCTAAAAATAACCTAGTTGCTTTTTGTCATTGGACTAAACTTTGGAGCAATTTTGGCCGAATTTGTAGTTTGCTTCTTTGTATTAGTGCCAAGATAAATTATTGTTCCACCCTGTTTACCTATTCATCTTGTGTGTGTGTGTGTATATTAACATGACTTATGTAAGCTCATATCAAGCAACTTTATGCCAGTCTAAGACTACTTATTAAGCAGCGTATAGCGTACTTGTTCCTCTTACACTTCAGAAAAACTATGTGAAATTATGCTTTTTTAAAAAATAACTTCCTAATATCAAGGTGTCAGTGAACTTTGCCTTACATCAGGTCATCAGATTTTTTCTTCATCTAGATCAGTATTTCATATTCTACAATGGGATTCATACATTTGGTCTAAATTATGTTTTATTGAATGAAACATAGTCTGCTGGGTTTACATAACATACATAAAGCAACCATAGTACATTGCCCAGAGTTCTTTTCTAGATTTCGAGTTGGTAAGTAGGTAGGTAAGTAGATAGATATAAAGTATATGAGGCTTTGGGTATTGCCTATTTCTGTCTTTTCTATTATTATATCTGCTAATTCATCCTCTGTACCAGAATCTGGAACATGGAATTGAGTAAGTAATTAATTTAGATTTTAGCTCTGTTGAGAAAATAAGTGTTCATATCTGCTCCTAGATTTTCCTTCCATACTTGTACATATTTTCTCTCTTACTTTGCCTGTATTTGGTTAAGGTTGGAGGGGAGCTTGAGTAGTGATTTCCACTTTAACATTTGTTATTTTTTCTTCGCACAAAAAAAAAAAAAAATCTCCCATTTTGCTATTCCCTTTATTGGATTTTTTGCTATAAATACGAAAAACAAATATGGAATACATCTTAATTCCTTCTTTCACCCAGTATATTTTAAAGTGGCAATAGTCTTTTTTTATAAGAATTGATGTTCTCGGCTGGTTAATCTGTTTTTCAAAAGTGTTGAATTGAACTGTTGTTGAAAAATAGTCCTGCAAATCTGGTCTAGATGTCATGCTGTATAAAGGATGACATCTGTGTCTGTTATTAAAGCTGATATTGCTTATATGTTGGAAAAATTCAAATGCCAGTACTAATCATCCTCAGTTGGAAGGTTTTCACATTGCATTGTGTGTGGTGCTATAAAAAGTGAAGAAAGGAGTTGGATGTAGAATGACAGAATGCCTTTGCAAATTTTCAGACAGAATTAAAATGTTCTTTGCCATCTCTTTGCTGGCATAGTTGCCAGGTCAATAACAACTCTTTTGTTATTGTGAAAGCTAAATAATGGTGATAAGTTGCGTTCGAAAAAAGAACATACTTTGGATAATGTGAGCCACTCTACAGAATAATTAAGAAGCTAAAATTCTGCAGGATTAAGGATTCAGTAAACAATCTGGAGAGGCTAGATTACTTAAACAGCACGGGTAAAAATGATATACTGTATATTTTAAAGTTCAGTAAAGTTCAGTCCTTAGAGCATCGTAGAGTTGTGTGAAAAAAGGAGAGGTTTCCAGAAGTGGGAGAGTAAGTGGGTGGGATGAGTTTAAACGAGTCATTCAGTGAAGTTGAATTGAAGCCTCTTCTTTCCCATCAAAACCTTAGCCCCCCAGACACCAAAATAGAACCATATCCTTACAGAAGGTGGTTTATGATTGAACAATGCTAGGTTTCTCCAGCATGCCTTTGGGATAATCCACACATATGGGTTGAATCTGCCTTTCTGCCCAGATACTGTCATCAATCTGCCACACCTCTTTCGGTCGGGGCAGGAAGCTCCCTAGCCCCAGTCATGACTCAGTCTTGGCCCTATAGAGACGTGGCAAAGGTTGGCTCCAACAATTTCAACAGAAAGCAGCAGTTTAAAGTGTGGATTTTCCCAAAGGATTGCAAAAACTCCCTCAAAAGTATCCAAATCATCATAAACAGGCAGCAATTGGAACTTTTGCCTGCTCCATTTTTTTGAAGCCCCCCTGAACTACCAATTGAAGGCCTAACAGCCCAGGCAGTCAAGGGGGATCTCCAAAATGATCCCCCACCCCAGGCGGGCGCTGAAGCTGCGATTACCCCCAGTGCATTGTGGAGCTCCCAGGCTTAACCGGATAGCTCCAGAGCAGCCACTTTCGTTTTCAAGGTCTCCAGCTTATTTTCAGGGCAGGTGGTGGCCATTTTGGTCGCATGGCGAGTTGTGCAGGTTATCCAGGAGACTGGTAGGGCCACCACTGCCACAGCCCAGGGAAAGCTTCCAGGCCTGGAATTCTCTTGGAGCAGCAGGATTGGAGGATTGAGAGAGCTCTCCTCTCTGCAACCTAGGCATTAGCAGCATGGCTGACCAAGGCAGCAGAGAGCCCACAAGTGCAAAACCATCCAAGCAGAGTCCCAGGAAGGCCAGATCTGCAAGTAAGGAGGCTGCTAACAAAATAAAGGCAAAGGCTCTTTATTCCAGAAAACCCAAAAGAGAAGTAAGGAGGCAAAGAACATTGGAAAAGCAGTTCTCCAGAGCTCAGAAGCAAGTTGACCAGGAGAGGTATATCCCCTCCCCCCAGCCAGGGCCTGTTAGCCCCCTCCCCCAGCAGCCTTTAGCACAGGAGTTGCCTGCAGTTCCCGGGGCTTGGTCACCAGAGGGAAATAGGGAGCAGGAATTTATCCCTCCTGCTGAGGAAATCCAAACTCAGAGATTTCCTTTTGATTGCATACTTCCTCATCCTGCAGATTTGCAGATCAGAGACAGGACTGGAACACCTGAGACTACTTTTACTCCAACTGTAGCGGGGATGTGCTCAGCAGATAGGATGGCCCCTGAATTATGAGAGGATCTTAAGGCCCTTATTGCTCAGGCCATTTCTCATGGGGTAGCCTCCTCTCTGAGGGGGAGGAGCCAGTCTTCTTCCCCAAAATCTGATCCTCAGCCATTGCACCCAGTGCAACCCAGGCCTCCATGGGTTTTTCCAGGCACCAGAAGGAGGCTTCTCCAACCAACTCCATCAGAAGCAGGGTATCTGGGAGGGAGGAGGAAATTCAGGGGGAGCAGGGGTTCTCATCAGATGAGGACCTGTCACCTGATCCATCCCCATTCACAGGTCTGTTTAGCCTGGGATTGTTTAAATCCCTCCTCCACAAGGTTAGGACCACTGCCCAAATTGATCCTCCGCCCACTATACCAACTGCTTCACCTGATACTCGGACCCAACAGCAGGGTTTTTTTTGAATCTACAATTCTCCAACAGGAGATTCCTTGTCCCAAGTTATTTTTGGATGTACTTCAGAGACAATGGGCACAGTGTGGATCCTTCTGCACTCCAGGGGGCAATGATAATTGTTTTTTCAATATGGCTCTTCTCCTCTCTGAGTCACTTCAACTTCCCCCTCTGGACGAACCTTTGGCGTCCTTGGTCTCTCCCTCTGCAATATCAGATGACATAGCAGAGGCCCTTAAAATGGAGGACAAAAAGGCAGAACAAAATTTCCACAGAACACACCAGGCCAACGTCTGGGCGGTTAAAGCAGCTGCGGCCACCTCCTTTTTCACTAGGACATTCCTTCTCTGGCTTCGCCAATTACAGGCTAGGATTCCCCCTGAGGAAATCAGAATGCATCAGGACGTCAACAAACTGGTGGCGGCCTCTGAATTTGTGGCCGACTCCTCCCTGCATGCAGACCGATTCTCCTCCAGGGCCATGGCCTCCAACATCACTTCTTATCATCTGCTGTGGCTACAGTGGCCGATGCTAAAACCAAATGGAAAGTGGCCTCTGCCCCATACAATAGTTCTTCCTTATTTGGAGAGGCCTTAAATCTCTTCATAGTCGAGAATAAAGACAAGAGAAAG